TACAGACTGTGGGCTACTGCCTCAATAGCAAATTCAATAAATAATTCATGAAGTGATTGAGTCTGATAGAACTTCTTCCTGTGCTTGCAGTGGTTCAGACATCACTTTTATCTTTTCTAAGTTCTAATGTATAGTTGGTGAGTGACTTCACAACTTCACAGGGAGCCAAACTGCTGGAAATTCAGGGCTTGGATGCTTAAGCAAAAATTATAACCAACATATTCAGGCTGTGATTGAGGCAGGGAAGTGCAGTGATGGAGGAGATCCAGAATCACATCTGTGTGTGGCCAGGGAGAACCACTGCAGCTGGGAGCCAGGCTGTGAGCAGAGGTTCCCCCATCCACTGAGATGTCCCTGCTGGGGTGTTTGTCCCTCTGGCACGTGGGGTTAAGGCAGCAGTGATTTTCAGATGCTCAGTCCACTCGTGGAGATGAATCAGTGCCCTTCAGTACCTGCCACTGTCACAGCAGAGCAGCCAGAAGTGTGCAGAGAAGTTGAACGGAGGGAAAGTTGTCCTTTAAAACTCTGCATTCCATAAGGAAATGGGGAATTTAACAGCTCTGCTTGAACCTGCCAGGTATATTTATTTACTTCTATCCACACTGAACTGTTTCCAATAATGAAAAAGTGAATATTGTACTGAAGTTATGTTTCAGAAAAGCAAAGGTGAGTCTTAGAGGAGGGGCCTCTCACAGGGCTTGTTAGTATTTGCTGTTCCCCTGAAAACCTCAAAGGAGGTATATGCCAAGCTGAAAAGAGAGCAGAGCTTTTCAGTTTCCTTTCAAGTGCTGGCTGGAGGGGAAACCACAAGGACTTTCCTCTTATGTTGGCTGCTGTAATGATGTGCTGTACTATTGAATTTCCAGGTCTAACTGATGTGGATCAATTATTTGAGTTTGATGGGCCACCTGCTTGGGAAACTTCTGTAGTATTTATAAAATACCTGGCAGTGCTCTCCTGGCAGGAGATACTTTTATATTTGCTCCTGTGGAAGTGCTGTCCAGGTTGAATTATAAAATGAACCAATGCCATGCTGGCAATGGGATGTTACTTGGGTTTTCAAGTTCCACAGTAGGACTTCCTCAGTGTGAAGTGCAGGACAATAATTAGCCTAAAGTATGAGCCAAAACTTGAGACCAATTAAATGTTGCACATAAAAGCTCCTGTGTGTGAGAAACACTCGAGTCTGTGTCAGCACGGGGTGAGTGCATTGCAGGGTGTCACCCAGAGATTGTGGGTGGTGCTGGCAGCTGAGAGAGTTGTGCTTTTGGAATAACCCAGCCAGCTTTTATCAAGACACTTCCCATGGGAAATGCCATCCCTGATGTTCAGCAGGAAACCACTCCTGCTCCTGCAGAGCCCTGCCTGCCCCTGCTGCTCCTTTCCAGGTGTGTCCCTGCCAGTGCTTGTCTGCAGCAAGGGGATGTGCAGCACGCTCCTTTTCTTAACAAAGGAGATGATTTTGGGTCTGTTTAGTTCTGCTTGTGTAGTCAATGAAATCAGCGCTGTGAAATTGTTATTACACAGGTTTTTTATTCTGTGTTTAATAGCTGGGGCAGAATTTCTTACAGCTGCCCAACATGTGAGGCATCTGCAGTTGCTCCCAGCACTGAAATTCTTCAACACTTTTCTTGTGCTATGACAAGGATTTGATAGTCAGTCTTTCCCCACAGAGTATTTCTGACAGCAGCATACGAATATTTTAAATATTTCATTTAGAAACATCTGGCTGCTTTAACCAAAAGAGAGATTCCTTTGGGATTAGGTTCACGAATTTAAATAAAAGCTATTAGTTGTTGTGGTTTGGTTTTAGTTTACTTGTTGGCTAAGAAAATAGTCTTAAAGTATACAATTATCTTTTCTGAGTGTGCCTGCTTTGTTCTTCCTGTCCTTTGAACATTCTATTATGTCAAATACTGTATTTTGATTCACCTTATGACTGAAGGACTCCTTTTGCAGAGTATCTTCCTGCAGAAGGCGCAGTTACAGGTGTGTGAAAACCCTTGAATTTTTAAGTTTTCTCATTAAATGAGATCTTTGTACTCTTGAACTTCCAGCATGTGGAGATCAGACTCCTTTAAAATGCAGAAGTGAAAATATTTACGGGTTTAGATGGATTTTTAGATGGGTTTTTTTAGTTTGTTCAACTTCAAAGAAATTGAAGAGGGGTATATGATGTGTATATTGCTGGTTATTTGTAATTTTGCTGGAGGAGTAAAAGAATATGACCAGATTCCATTTTGGCTGTTAAATCAGTGAAGCCCTGCAACCACGTTATTGTTCCTGACATTTCATCAGAGCACTGATTTGGCAGCTCCTGACATTTGGATCAGTGACTAAACTTGTTTCCTTGTTGATAGCAAGTCATCTGCAGTTAGAGCAAAACATGGTTCCTGGACCTGACAGATCTTCTTTGCCTTGAAAATAAATCTAACATTGCAAGGTCATTTGAGAGCTCTCACTGGAAAAAAGATTCTGCTCCTAACCCTTATCTGGGTCAGTACTTTACATTTCCATGGTCTTTACTGGAGGATCAGAAAGTGCTTTATAAATATTAGATAGCATTAGATAATCTTTCTGCTGAGTTTGATAAAGCAGTATTTCCTTCATTCCATGCTTTAGACTCAGAGTAGTTAAGTGACTTGCCCAAAGGTAGAACTGTGGATAAAATTTATGCTGATACCAGGTTGGCCTTTCTGTACTGTGGTATTTTGTTCAAAGGGTACCTTAAGTGGCTCTACTGATTCAAGTGAAAAGAGGATATAATATGCTTTATAAACAACTTCAGGAGCTGACAGGAGGGAAAGAGAATTATTATTTAAACAGAGGACAGTGCATTATTTTTTTTTGCAGAATAAAGCAGAAGGGGTATGAACACCTGGCTGCTCCCCTTGCCTCCCTAACACTGGGCTGAGTGCAGGCATGAGCAGGTCCTGGTTATGTATGGACATTAAGGGATGCTGTAAATCCTTTTCGCAGCAGCACCAAGGTGTGTAATCCTAATCCAGGAACACATCTCAGGCATTTGTGGAGAGCCTGAGGAGTGATATTTCATAGTTAAACTACTAAACTCTTTTTTGGTTTATTTTTTGGGGGTTTTTTTTTGTTTGTTTTTTGTTTTTTTTTTTGGTACAGATGCAGAAAAAGATCCTGTAAAAGCTGACTTCATTAATCATGTCATTCTGATCTCACATATCTACATAACAGCCATATTCTATGTTCTCTGTTCTTTTGGCTTCACCTTAATCAGACTCCTTATTGATGCTTGATTGGCAATTTGGTGATGTGGGATGGAATTCAGCTCAGCATGGGATTGTCAGCCTGGAGTGAATGGCTCCTCTCATTGTGGATGTATTTTTTCTGGAATATATCACTTTTGCATCAGTGATTCTCCACATGACCTCCTTGCTTTTGATTTCCTATTTGCAATATCAGCTTTTTCAGACAAGATCAATGATGAGTGGTATAATTAATTTTTACGTGTTTTAATTAAGTTTTAAGCTGCTCCAGTGCTTTTCATTATCTTAGCATGATCTCTTGCTGCTACCAAACATTACAATGAAAAAAAACCTGTTGATTAAATAAATTATTATTTAAAAAGTCCCCTGCAAGTTGTCAAAGTAATTAAAGCTCAGCGATGCAAAGTGAATATAATACCTACTGCACAAAGAAATGTCAGGTAGAGCAAGGTATTTAGAAGGGCTCAGGAACCTACAACAGCTTGGGGCAGGTTCTGTCAACTCTGCAATGGTTTGTGTGGCACCTCATCATCCTTCTGACATCTGGTGCCATTTGTGTTATCCTAGTCATGAGGCTGAAGGAGCCAGTGATGCCTCCAGGAACTGAATTTGCAAGTTGAACAGAGATCACCATTATTAATATGGGATGATACAGAAAGGTTTGAGTTCTTGACAACTTTTGAAACTCTGCTTTGCAGAAAAAATACAATATTTAACCTGCTACTAGATAGGAAAGAAATTGATGGTACCTTGTCTCTCAGGGGTTTATTTTTAGAGGAATTAATCTTACTTTATTTCACTGGTAAATTAATCTGTTCATTGGGTTCTTGGGTAGAAGACAGACATTGCTTGGCTGTTGCCTGCTTAATTATACCCTGTAATTTTGATTGACAGTGGAGTATGCATTGAGAAGCAGCTGGAAGTGTCTGTCAGCTAGTTTAGAAACTGGTGAGGGATCTCTGCCTCCTGCAGAAGCTGCTTGCTGTGCTAACCTAGGCCCAGTGAGAGGTTGGTGGATGTCTGGGGAGCAAAAGCAAGCAGCCATCACTCTGTTCTGAACAGTCAGAAATTAGATGTTTAAAGTGTGCCACAGCTACTTTCAGCAAACACTGGGCTCCCACTCAGAATCTGAGGGTTGAGCGTGAAGAGCTTGTGTTTCTGTGTAAGGCATTAATTGGGATTTCTCTCTGCTGGAGTGCCTGTGAGGATGCTTTTGCTGTGTTAAATTGAGATTCTTAAAGCGTGTTTGGCTTTTATGTGTGGCATCTATAACTGATTCTCGGTATTTCAGTAAATTGTGTGAGACTCCAAATCATGAAGGTAAAGGTGCTTTCAGGTACTTTGAGGGGGGTAAAATGTGGGAATGGGGGGGAAGTTGAATGAACACACTTAGTTGAAAGCTGTGAGCTATAAAAGGAAAAATACTGAATGTTAATGATGGTGTGTGAAGTTTGAAGCTATTAAAGTGGCTGGGAGAGTTTGTGCAGGGCTGAGCTGGTGCTTTCAGGGTCATGTGCAGATATGTGGGGTTCACCTGCTCTTCATCCCCCGTTTCTCTGTCCACGATGTTCTGCTGCTGCTGCATCACTGTCCTGCCTCCTCTTGATCATTCCAGTGTTGTGGGGGAGAAGGAGAATGAAGAGACTGACAGAACTGTAATATTTTTGCCAGCAGCCTCTATTTCCTTATCCTGGGAGTTTCATCCCAGGACATCCTTCCCAGTGGTGAAAGCAGGGCATTTTTGCATTTTTCCCTGTTTAGCAAGGAGCCGTCAGCCAGTGACTGGGGAGAGAACAGCAGATGGAAATGAAAAACTGGGGACAGCCCTAGTGAATGTCACCAGCTGAGCAGACCTGCCCAGGCCAAGATCCTACAAGCAGCGATCCCTTCTTTGCTCAGCATTATCCTGAGGTTTGTTGCCAAAAGGGAGCTGGAGAGGGAGTGTGTCCATTTGTTGGGATGTTGTCATCAGGTCTGGTGCAGCAAGGAAAGGAAATGGGCCATGGGGACAGCCCTGGGGACAGTTCCATGAAGTGCTCTTTGCAGCCAAATCACAGCTCTAGCTCTGACTGCAGCTCTCCTTTTCACAACTTTAATGGGCATAACGTGCCATACAAAATAAGCAGGATTCTCCATTCAAAACAAGGAGTGTGGCTTACCAAGTGATTTAAAAAACTGTTCTTTCAGAAATGTCTGTGCAACATGACTTGACTGATTTACCTTATAATGGCTCAAAGCCAAGAACATAATGAAATTGTGAGCAGAAGAAATTACTCTAGTGCTTTTTCCCTTTTGCTCTCTGCTGATTTATTGGAAATGCCTTTCATTCAAATAACTGTCCCATTAACCCACATGCTGCCAGAACCCTGGGAAAGAAAAGAAAAGCAAGACAGAGGCAGTGACTGCTCTGGAAGAGAAGAGAGTCAACAAGCTTAAGCATTGTTGCACTGTGTGTTTGCAGTTTTGGAGGCAGGGGGGAAAAAAATTTACGGTTTCAAGCTTAACTGTTACTCTGGGAAGCTGGAAGCTTAAAAGCCCAATGGATAGCTAATAAAAATTTTGTGATGGCATGTCTCAGCTCTTCTGACATGGGCTGTTTAAATCCTAGACTTGTATTGCAATATTGCAATACTTAGATATTCCTCCCCGATATTGATTCTCTGCCCAGGCTGGGGCTGCCTGTGCATCCTCTCACTGCGGTTCAGGAATGTTGGGTCTGGATCTTCATGGCTAAATTTCGGAGTGTCAGGCAGGCTCTAGGAGCTGTAGAGATGGTGCTGAGGACCAGCACCAGGTTGGTGTGGCCTTGTGGTGCCTTGTGGCTGGGGTCTCACAGAAAAAGGGCAGGAGGAGGAGGAGAGGAGCTCGGAGCTGGCAGGGAGGCTTGGCTGTAAAAACTTACTTCCAGCTCCTGAGGGCTGCCTCCAGTCCTTCCTGTGAGAGACAGAAAATAAATTGCTGCTGTTGAACATTTTATTTGCACTCACAGAATATTCATCCAAGGAGCAAAGAAAACACCAGAGGAGTGTGATGAGGGCTCGTTTTTTCTTAGCAAGCCAGTAGGAAATAATGCCAGAATCAGACACAGTGGAAGATTTTTGACGACATGGAAATTCCTCTTTGTGCACTGCCAGCTAAATCCAGCTCGGTAAAATTCCTCTCACCTTGAATCAACAGCAGCTCCTAGAACTGCTGCAATTTCTTAATCAGTGGCTATTCAGCATGGCTTCATCAGTGAACCTTTCCATTGCAGGCACAGACCAAGTGTAGCAACTAAAAAGCTTTTGTTTCTGCCCTTCTGGAAGAACAGAAAGAGACAAATGCTGGCAGAATTTCTGGGTAGTGCCTCTGTTAGTTGGAATTTGTAAATTCCTCTGAAAACTGTGGAGTTTTTTTGAGGAGGTTAAAAAAAAGGGTAAATTCAATGCAAAGAGATGTTGTTGATCTGAATACATTTAAACAGAAAATTAGATTCTTTCCAATTTTCAGAATTTCTGGAATATTTTCCCGAAGAGATGTTAAGGACTGAAAGTCTAACAAATCTCATTAGTTTGGGGTAAATTTAGGAGAAGTTTGGGTAGGTAAGTTTAGGAAGAAATGAGGTTTTGTGTGAAAGAACAAACACATATATAGATGATGTTCCTTTTGAAGTGGAAGAGTTCTTGAGCCTCTTAAAGTGCTTCAAGTCCCCATTGTGCTCTGCTGGTTTTAGATCTTGCTTTATCAATCTCCCACTTTCTGCATCAGCAGATGGACACTGTGTCCATGGCATGGCAGTGGCAGATTTTGCACCTGCATCTGTTTTTCAGTTTTGAGACTGAAGAGGCTGTTTATTTCTGATGGATGTCCAAAAGGAACATTGATGGATACTGGTAAAACCCAAGGGTTGGACAAGTACATCCTCAGTGGAGGTGGAAAACTTTCTGCTAGGAAAGCAACTGTGTTAAAGTTTGGCAGAGCTCCTTGGGGTGTTTTTTGGAGCTGGCTATAAATCAGGGGCCATTTTGGGGCTAGAAGAGAAGTAAAAACCCCTTTACAGTGATCAGGCAGCCCTTGGAAACTCCACATACAGGTAAAGATTGGGATTAAATTGTCAGTGTAACCGCTTGTAAAGCTCTTTGAGTTTGGACTCACTGATCAAGACAGTCAAGGCAGGCTGAAAAGGCCCTGAGACAATGTGGAATTTGACACAAAATGAGAGGTTTTTTTCATTGCATAAGAGAATATCAGCTTGCAAGAGAAAAATAGCGACAATTCAAAGTTGTGTAGCTAAATATTGTGCCTCAAAGTTATGTTGGAAGGGGAATTTCAAAGATTATTCTGCAGCCTTGCCAATTAAAATAAATGATAAATATTTGCATTCATGGATGCCCTGGAGTCCTTTCTCTAAGAAAGAAAGAAAAGGTAGAACAAGGTGTGGAATTCAGTACATGCTAAGAAAATAAAGACCTGGGGCTGTGCACAAGTACTCACTTAATCCCTGTTGTATTTGTTATTTCTTTGACACTTCTCTCTGTTACTTCCACTGATGTCTGGTAGATGGCATTAGCGTATAACAAATTTCAAGTTCTTTTCCTATTGGAGGGGGTTTATTTTTCATCCATTTTACAGATAATGCTGTCTTTTTCTGGCTAAGCAGTTTAAAGCATTTTTTTCCTCTCAGTGTTTCAGTTATTATTTGACTAAATGCTTATATTATTCAACATGCTTTTTTTTCCTCCTCCTTGTGCCGTATAATTATTATTTCTTCCAGAGGGCATCAATCACTGAGAAAGAAAAACTTGATGTTTTTGGCTGACTCTGAATTTAGAAGCTCTGTTATATTGTGCACTGTTTATATGCAGTACCGTATTTATTTCATATTCTGGCTTAGAAGGGGGGATGGTGCTCTAAAGGGAGAAGAAAAATTTCTCACACAGAGGGGAAAAATGCAGATAATCAGAGTAGTAAATAGAGGTGCTTACTATAGGGTTGAAGACATATTTGACTGCTTTGCAGAGAAAGAAGCTCCATAAATATATTTTGTCTTTTTTAGTCCACATAAGCATTTTTAGCTAATTTTGTGTGCCCCAAGAAAATGAATAGGACTTCCATGACAAGGGGCCATTTTGCATAGGAAAACAGTCAGTCCTAGGGATTTTTGTAATCTGGACCAGGAGAAGGAAGTTTCATCCACAAGTAACCTTTGGCAATAGGGTTTATGGATCTGCCAGTAGCTTTGTCTTCATCAGGGCTCCCTGGGGAAGCTTTTGTGCTGAGATATACATATTTGTTCTTGCTTTTAGATTCAAGAATCAGGTAACATTTTGAGCAAAAGTTTTGCCTAAATGCTGGTTGGAAGACATATGGAGCAGTGGGACAATACCTTTTTTTTAACCCTCCCCAACATTCTCCCCACCATAGAAATAAGACTTATTTCCTTCATAAATAACCAGAAGGATTATTCATAAATAGCAGAAGGGAGAAGTGGAGTGCTGGGGGAACATTTTTGTTGGTACAGTAATGATTTTAAGCAATCCTCCAGAAGCGTCTGTTTATGAAGATGATCCGTTGCAGATCAGATCTGCTTGATAGCAAAGGACTAAAAAATGATAGAGATATCTTTGAGGTTAATTTTGTATAAAGACTATATAAATGCAAAACATGCTAAGCACCAGGTTTTATTCAATCTATCTAATTATGAGCAACTAATCAGCATAATTTTCCTGCATTTTCAACAACATTTCCTTGAGATTGAAGTATTTAAGGCAATTATGAAGAAATGCCAACACCTAATTGTGACAACTTTTATCTTTAAGGAATCCTTGGGGTTGTCTTTATATAGAAATGCAAATAATTGGGGACAGACAGGGCTAAGCACTCTCTGGGTCCTGTTTTAAGAGGCATTTTTGTGGTGCAGACTCTCTGCAGTGAGTAAAGAGCTGAACACAGGTAGTCAGCTTTCTTTTCCTCTCTTTTTAATACCTCCTAAAGCATGTTGGTTTAGAGGTGTCTCAGGACCTGCAAGCATTCCTTGCTTCAAAACACAAGGCCAGCTTCTGCATCCAGTGGATGAGGAAAGTGTGTGGGTGCATTTCTGTCCTTTTGCTGGCAACAACCTGTATCCTCCAGCATTAAGGTGTCATTTCTCTTAAGTGGACACCACCAGGGCTTCCTCTTGAAGAAAGATGGACTAATTTCACGTGGGCTTCACCATCTGAAACGTGCTGGCCTACTGTAGCACAGCAACAGGCTTTTGCAGGTGGAGGTGTCCTTGCTGGGGTTTCTCTGCTGTGTTAGTTATTTCATTTCCCCTCTCTGCCATCCTATCTTTATGGTGGTCTTCTGCCATCATTTGCAGGCAGGTTGTCTTACAGCTGTTATTGCACCTTTCCTTGGCCTCTGTCATCTCTCCCAATTACTGAAATAGTGCAGATTGTGGGCTGCTCTCCAGTACAGAAATAGCATGTTGTTGTCATGTAGAGCATTAAAATTCATGGGCTGTAGCCTGTCTGTTTCTTGCACTTTCTGGACAGGCCTGTTAACCTTTGAGGATTTGCTGTTCAGATCTTGCTGTACAATAATAAAAACAGGGAAGTGAGAAGGAGCCCTGCTGGGGGAAGGTTTATGTGTTGGGATGATGAACCCATAAAACTCAGTGGCTGTTCCAGACCGTGCTCCCAACACGTGTTCCCCCACCTGCTCCCATTCAAGCCTAGGAACCACCTGAGTGATTGAGGTTACAGGAAAGGCTCGGGCTGTGCTCTTGTGCTGCAGGCAGATCGGTTTAACCTCCATGTGGCAGCCAGGATGGAGACTCCTGTGCCACTGTGCTAAGCTGCTCCCAGATTTGTGTGAGGATGATGATGATGAATAGCTGCAGGGTGAGAGGGGGAGGCTTTGCTCAGCAGCACTGATGTGAACACAGCCCA